TTATTCATTTATTCATTTATTTACTTTTTATTCTTGCCATGTAGTTCAGACCAGCCTTGAACTCACTATGCAGCCCAAGCTGACCTCAAACTCACGGTGATCCTCCTGCCTCAGCCTCCCAAGTGCTGGGATTACAGGTGTGCCCCACCATGCCCAGCTCTTATGATACTTTCTTAGCACATTAATAAAATCGGATTATTAATAATGCATTGCTTAAGAAATGTATGTTATATAAACTTCAGCAACTTCAGTACTTAAGGAAATTATTCTGGTTGAGAAGAGTGATAAAAATAATAAAATTTCATCCATACTATAACTTTACAGAAATCTTGAATCATTTATGTCATAACACAAAAGATTAAAAGAAACTTTTAAACCACCTACATGATCAGTTTAGTAGTATTGGCAGTATTTTTACCATCATCACTGTACATGAACTTGCTGCAAAAAAATAATACTCACGGTAATATTTCCCTTGGGGCCTTTTATGTCTTAACTCAAAATATTCCCAGGGATGAATATCTAAATTGTGTTTTGAGGTTCAAGATTCATGAGAGAAACAGATGCTTTCTACATCTATTGGCTACTTCCTGTTACAATCAAGAACAATAGTGCAACCAGCCTGAAGGAACACTTGGACATTTCAAAGAAAGGTAAAATCTGGTAGAAGTAAGAATTATGATTAGCATCTATATTTGTTTTCTTACACTGGGATACCATTTTGGTTTTGTGAACAACTATTTTTGAAAAATTGATGTTAGTGAATTTTAGTTTTCAATTTTAATTTCTGGAGTTAAGTTTTATTTTGCTTGTGGTCATTCCCAAGGGGGAGACAGTCAGGAAAATCTGGCATTGGAGGGTAAATTAATTCGATAACAATTTAAACCTTGATTTTAACAATTAAATCTTGATTTGTATTTGTGCAAGGATAAGTCCAAATAGTAAAAAAGTTACAGCTTTCAGAACATACCACCGTGGTTTAGATACAGATCCTCTTAGCATTTGTGTAGTCCTGGGCTATAGTATTCTTATTTGCAAAACAGAGGCAATGATACAATAGTTACTGTATTGTGGTAGCAATGAAATGGGCAAGAAAATAAAAGCTTTTAATGCTATTATTCCCAGAACATATGAATATATGGCATGTAAACATTTTACTCCAAATGCATCAAAAAATTAAGTCTATGTCCTTCCATTTCACATTTTTCATTGATATAGACATAATAAATAGATAATGAAGCAGAAAATCTTATAAAATCTTTCTTGATGAAATTTTACTTTCCTCCTTTCCTCTCATGACTTTGTTCATAAGTCTGCTTTCCAAGAACTGTACTTCCATGTTTTTCTTTTTTTTTCCTGTCAAACAGAAGTTTGCATATCTTTGTAAAATGAATTTCTCCAGAGATTTTGCTGAAAGAATTTAAATAGTAAAGGACAGATTTCTGGACAACTTATTTTGAGTGAAGGCTAGATAAATAATGGACTAAAGATTGCTCATTCTCAAAACCTTGTTTATCGAAGTATGTGCATCTGGTATGTGTGTGTGCCTGCAGGCGAGGGCATAGAGATTGAGCATTTTATGTATTACAGGAACATATGGGATTGGAGGATGGGACAGAGCCTCTGGATATTCCAGCACAGGTAGCTTTACAGAGATTGTTAGTAGAGACGCTATGGGAACTGCTTTGCAGCATTTTCCCAGCATACATTTCATCACTGTAAGTAAGAAGTCCTGGATTTACATGTCAAGAGATCCTGAGGCTTGCACCAATATCAGGGAGGAAATGTTTTGTAGGAGGTTTGAACTTTTGCAGTTTTAATTCTCTAGTTTCACTTTAGTTCTGTTTTCTTTTCAATGGGAAAATATTTCTAGATTCTTTTTTGTCTTTTAACTCACAGATTTGTCCACGTAGTTGGAATACGAAATAAACATGTACCCACACCCACTTCTTTACAGCACCATTTTTTTCTGTACCTAATGTGGCTTTAATATGAGTTCATCAGCCCATCTCTTTGTGGTTCCCAGAGCACGGACCCTAGAGCAGCTGGAAACTGCTAAATGAAAGCGGTGCTGTCTACTTCCTTTTACAAGAAGTTGCTCCTCCGTAAACATTCTCAGGGGGAAGGGCTGCTGTGTGGACTTCGCAAGTCCTTGGCATCATAGATTATTTTATAGGAACTTACTTTGCTTTTAGCATAAAGCAAATAGATTGAATCTCACTGCTTCTAGAAACAGTTTAAAAAGGAGGCTCAGAGAGAACCAACTGATGTGTGCTCTCAACAAAGAAATCAGCCGAGAGTCTGACACGAGTGCTTGTCTCATGCTCCTTAGGTGAGGTATCTCCATGTAACAGTAGATTCTTTCCTCACTGGTCCCGTTGAAAGAGCAAAGATTGTTTGAAATTATTCTTTTCTTCTTTCAGCCTGGCTTTGCTGAAAAGAACATTTAGATACAGGTAAAGGTGATGATTATGTTCACTCTGTGCTCCCAGGTGCACAGCATCTGAAAACAGAGACTTTCTGAATGTGCAATTGAATAAGCAGGCTATTCGTTAAAAATCACATTAGGTCCCTCAACAAGTCACCAGGAAGGGACTGGCTATCTCCGATGTGTCTCCCAGGGCAGCAGTAACCATCAATAAGTGCATTTGGAATTTTAGGAAAAAGGTGAAGGTTTTTATGTTAAAAGGTTTTATAATGAGCTACATGTTCTTTGGTATAGATGCCCAGTGTTGCTGCCCCTGGTTCCTTATTTCCACCTCCTCTGTGTCCTAAACTTGGACCAAACTTGCTTGGGAGAAGCAGTAAAACACTTACCAAACAATTCAGACTATTTTACTATTATGATTAAGAACCTTTGATTTTTGAATTATTGAGAGATTAGGATCTTATAGGTAAATTATATGTAAAATGGGGGAGGAGAGGGATTTCTTTAATATTATACAGTTAGCAAATGATGATAATGAAAGAGAAATATATTTTTATAGGCATAGAAAACAGCTGGAATTCCATTTTGTGTATGGATAATGTGGCCTAGTGTTTAGGAGGCTGAAACTTGCCACCAGATATAGGTTCCTATCTTGGGTCTTCTATTTAATATCTCAGTGGTGAACATAATTGACTGCTACCTCCTATTCTCTATTTTTTCATGTGAAAAATGAATGTCAGAACAATACCTGTTTGATTTTTATTACAGTTAAATGCATGTAATGTATTTATTAAGTTTCCAAGTATACACTTTTATTAAATATTAAAAATATAGTGCTTTTTAATTAAATGGGCTTTACCGATTGACTTTGTAACAAATCTGCAACTATCTTTTTGATGTATAAATGTCTCCAAAACATATACAAGCTTTTGAAGTTGTATTGTTCTGTCTGCTCTTTCAGGTGAAAGAAGTTTCTTTCTCTGTGTATTATGGACTCACACTGACTTCATGGAAAATCAGAAAAATGTCACAGAATTCATTTTTCTGGGGATTTGGGAAAATCAGAAAATAGACCTCCTGTTGTTTTTCCTGTTCTTGCTTTGCTACCTGGCAGTCCTTGTGGGAAATGTCACCATTTTCCTCTCCATCACCTGCAGCCACCTGATTGAAAAACCCATGTACTACTTCCTCTGCCACCTTTCCCTCATGGACCTGTGCTACACCTCCAGTGTGGTGCCCAGGCTCCTCAGGGACTTAGCTGCGGAGAGAAAAAGCATCTCCTACAACAGCTGTATGACCCAGCTCTTCACTGCTCACCTACTGGCGGGAGTGGAAATATTCATCTTGGTGTCTATGGCTCTTGACCGTTACGTTGCCATAGTTAAGCCGCTGCACTACATGATCATCATGGACCGGAAGAGGTGCAATGTGCTCATTGCTCTGGCCTGGGGAGTTGGTTTTTGGCACTCGCTTGCACTGCTTCTCATGGTACTCAGCTTGCCCTTCTGTGGTCCTAACCAGATAAATCACTACCTGTGCGACGTGAAGCCTCTTTTGAAACTTGTTTGCAAAGACATTCATGTTGTCAGTATCTTGGTGATTGCTAATTCTGGGATGGTGGTGGTTGTCATTTTTCTTGTGCTGATGGTTTCTTACATACTCATTCTCTATCATCTTAGGACAAGGTCATCTGCAGGACGTCGTAAAGCCCTGTCTACCTGTAGCTCTCACGTAATGGTTGTAGTTTTATTTTTTGTGCCCTGTATTTATATCTACATGCTGCCTACAGGAAACGAGAGCAGGGACAAGGAGATCTCTGTGTGTTACATTGTGATCGCTCCCATGCTGAACCCTCTCATCTACACGCTGAGAAACGTGGAGATGAAAATTGCCATGTGCAAGGTTTGGTCTCAAATTAAAACTCATTCAAAATTAAAGTAAGTAAGGCAACATTCATTATTCTTTTCATCCTTCCAGAGATCATGGAAACAATGTAGCTTATTTCAGGGAGTTGGTATTACTAACCTCTCAAATCACTGCTTTTGAAGTTGCAATCTGTACTTTTAAATAGCTCCAAGAGTTTCACATGCAGCCAGGCCAGTTTGAAGAACCCAAGAAATGCCCTTTGAAAGCACAACTTAGATCATATAAATCTCTTTTCCTCCAATAAAAAACATATGGTGGTAATCCTATTTTCTTTGGAATACAACCCAGCCTTCTCATTTGTTAATCAGAAATCTTCCAAATCTGGTCAGGTCTAGCATGTTCATCTCAGAACTCATCATATTGGAAGTATGTTGCTATAACAATTAAATGTGATGTCAGGAATATCTGGGTGACATACTGACTGTCAGCTTGTATGTCCGTTTTTAACAGTTTGCATTAATTATATGAGTATCCATTTTATAATATCTTTGAAATGAGGCAATGAGCTATATTTTACAAAGAAGAGTAGATTACATATGTGATTTTTTTTGTGATACTGCAGATTAAACCAAGCTGTGTCCCAGCCCTTTGTATTATTATTACTATTATTATTATTTATTATTATTATTATTATCAGCAATGGGGATTGAACACAAGGCCTTTGTACTAAGGTCCATCCCCAGCCTGTTTGTAATTTTTATATTTTATTATTTTATTAAATTTTGAGATAGGGTCTCACTAAATCACTCTTTGCCCAGGCTGGGCTCAAACTTGGACCCTCCTCCCTCAGCCTCCCAGAGTGCTGGAGTTACAGGGTTTGTACCACCAATCCTGGCTACCCTGGCACATGTGAAATTTTAATAGGAAATATAGGCAAAGTGAATCTCGTGTTCCTATTATTCCTTCTTTTCCTACAACTCTTCATGTGTGGCTGTGTGGTAAAATCTCTCCCACCTCTAGGGCTTTATTTATTACTGTTCTTCCTCTCCTCAGGATGCCCTGCTGCCATGTTTGGGGGTCAGGATCCTACGGATCACCACACACTGATGCTGCATTCTTCAGGAAGATTTGAGAGACCCATCAACAGACCAAAAAAGTTTTGAATTCTTTCCCTCTTCTCGTATTGCATTTACCATCGCTCAGAAATCCCATATCATATGCAGTGTTTCTGCTTATAAACTACAATTTTTACAATTTGAATAAATCATACATTTATGTGCTATATTTTTATTTTTTCTTTGTATCTTTCTTTTACTGAGCAATATCTCTGCTACAAATTTTAGGGGGAAATTAACAGTGAATTACACACAAAGGTGCTAATTCTTTTCTATTTGATGATTGTGCTGTTCTTAAATCTTTAGAATATTTTCTTACGTAAATAACAATCATGCATTAATAATAAAATAAGTTATAGCTGAAAGAGAAAAAAATCAACACATATTTCCATGTACCTTTTAGCAAGGGAATAAAATCCTGCCTCTTGTCAGGCCCCTGCCTGATCAATTGATTCCTTTTTCTGTATTAGGGAGGCACCACTGTTCTAGTTGTAGTTTTCTCCCATGTCTTAAGCACAACTTGATCCAACCTGAGATCTGAGGTTCATTCCCATCATCTGGTATTTTCTTTCTTTCTTTTTTTTTTTTGGTACTTTTTTTTCTTAAATTTTTTTATTGGTACATTTTAGTGATACAACACATTTACATTTCTCATTGGGAACTTGTACCTTTACATGATGCATCTTGGTTCTTATTTTTCACCCTCGCCCAGCCCTCCCTTCACCCCCTCCACCCTTCCCTATTTACAAAGACTTTATTTACATTTTTTCCATTTCTCATCATTTTTCCTTTCCCTTCTTTCCTTTACCCTGCCCCTCCCACTACTCCTACCCCT